GTACTGGTATGTACTGGTATGTACTGGTATGTACTGGTATGTACTGGTATGTACTGGTATGTACTGGTATGTACTGGTATGTACTGGTATGTACTGGTATGTACTGGTATGTACTGGTATGTACTGGTATGTACTGGTAGGTAATGGTAGGTAATGGTAGGTAATGGTAGGTAATGGTAGGTAATGGTAGGTAATGGTAGGTAATGGTAGGTAATGGTAGGTAATGGTAGGTAATGGTAGGTAATGGTAGGTAATGGTAGGTAATGGTAGGTAATGGTAGGTAATGGTAGGTAATGGTATGTATGGTATGTAATGGTATGTAATGGTATGTAATGGTATGTAATGGTATGTAATGGTATGTAATGGTATGTAATGGTATGTAATGGTATGTACTGGTATGTAATGGTATGTAATGGTATGTAATGGTATGTAATGGTATGTAATGGTATGTAATGGTATGTAATGGTATGTAATGTTATGTAATGGTATGTAATGGTATGTAATGGTATGTAATGGTATGTAATGGTATGTAATGGTATGTAATGGTATGTAATGGTATGTAATGGTATGTAATGGTATTTAATGGTATGTAATGGTATGTAATGGTATGTAATGGTATGTAATGGTATGTAATGGTATGTAATGGTATGTAATGGTATGTAATGGTATGTAATGGTATGTAATGGTTATGTAATGGTATGTAATGGTATGTAATGGTATGTAATGGTATGTAATGGTATGTAATGGTATGTAATGGTATGTAATGGTATGTAATGGTATGTAATGGTATGTAATGGTATGTAATGGTATGTAATGGTATGTAATGGTATGTAATGGTATGGAATGGTATGTAATGGTATGTAATGGTATGTAATGGTATGTAATGGTATGTAATGGTATGTAATGGTATGTAATGGTATGTAATGGTATGTAATGGGATGTAATGGTATGTAATGGTATGTAATGGTATGTAATGGTATGTAATGGTATGTAATGGTATGTAATGGTATGTAATGGTATGTAATGTTATGTAATGTTATGTAATGTTATGTAATGTTATGTTATGTAATGTTATGTTATGTAATGGTATGTATGTATGTATGTGTGTATGTATGTATGTGTGTATGTATGTATGTGTGTATGTATGTAATGGTATGTAATGGTATGTAATGGTATGTAATGGTATGTAATGGTATGTAATGTTATGTAATGTTATGTAATGTTATGTAATGTTATGTAATGTTATGTAATGTTATGTAATGTTATGTTATGTAATGTAATGTAATGTAATGGTATGTATGTATGTATGTGTGTATGTATGTATGTATGTGACCATTTGTCAAAAATAGTTGTTTAGAAGTTTAGTATTGGTTGTTGATAATTCATCTGGGTCTACTGTTTTTTCCTCTGCGTTATGAAGCGGCACGCAACTAAATTCAGCAATTCTGCAAGGCAGCGCTAGCAAACCCGCTAGGTTTGCGCTAGGTTTGATTGACAGCCATGGCCTCCATGTCGTGAATGTCTTGCCAGCTTTTCTTACAAGTCTGTCAGTTTCCACATATTCCCAAATTTTCGATTTTTTTTACGTATTTTACGCGCTAGATCGCCGCTAGCAACGCGCTAGCGAAAATTGCAAATACATGCCCCGGTCCACCCGCAGCCCATTCAGAGGCACAGCCATGCTCACGCTTTGGTAGACAGTAAGGAAACAGTGTTGATCAGGAGGCATGTCAAGAAGCATATTGCATTCAGAGAGGCACACACACACAGAGACACACAGTTCAGGAGATAGTACCAGCGACAGCGAATGAAAACCGACGTGCGTTAGCCGATTCCTGTGGTTTTAGAAAGATTTCCAAAGGTAACGAAGAATTTCCACGTTTTCACGTCATCAAGGTAGGTCATGTTTTGTTAAAGGCAAACATGAGGCGGCACGCATGGAATTGCGATTTATCAACAAAACCGGGAACAGACATTTTGACAAACCGTCATGTATGTATGTATGTATGCATGCATGCATGCATGCATGTATGTATGTATGTATTTATGTATGTATGTATGTATGTATGCATATATCCATATATAATCATATATGGATATATATATATATATTGTATAAACACATCTCGCTCAAAGATGTTACGGACATTGTCCCATTGATATTCCCGTAAACTAATACTCATTATATAAGAATATTGAAACCCCAACAATCATCATAGATGAACTCCATATATTGAATATTAACAAATGTTAATAATAGTATTTTGTTAATCATAGAATAGATGAACATTTTGTTAATTGAAGAATAGTTAATACTAATCTATTAATATTTTCCCATTGTTAATCTCCATTTTTGGATGTATCCGATGTATCCCCATAGGTCACTAGTGTACAGATTGCTATAAAACAATCATATATCCCTTCAAATCGAATCCCATGATATCCCATTAACATTCATTTATCATATGTAACCACCATTAATCTACTATCCCATTAGCCTTTTCTTAATCCCCATGATCAACTATAACATTGCATAGATCAACTACTTGTCAAATATAGACGATAAATTCCCATAGATCAACATCAACATTCATTAATCATGTGTAACCACCATTCATATATTATCCCATTCATCACAACTATAGATTGCAATATGGGGATGGTTCGAAACCCATTATCACCATATTTGGGAAAATAACAATCCATTGACCAGCTATTTTATGGTACCTAGGGTACCAGCGTTTTGACCCATAGCCATATACAACAATCTCTTGTTTCTCATGTGCACCCGAACTAGGCTTTGGATGGCGGTGGTTTGGCGGAGAACTTCGCTCTGGAACGACTGGACAGGCGCGAAAGGGTTTTCAGAACGCCACGGTCGCGAAGGGACGAGGGAAAATGAGGCGAACATTGGGAGCGAACAGTGGGAGAAGTGGGAATTTCACCAGCAAAATTGGGGGATATATACAGTGGATTTATGCGAATTTCACGAGCAAAACTGCTGATAGAAAAAAAAATACCGATTACAAGGTGGTGCCCCCACAGTTGTAAATCAGTTTATAACCCCCATTAAGTATAGCATTATGGCTATATCTACTATCTATCTACTATCAACCCAAGTTACTGGAGTTATGAACCAACTCACCTAGTTATGGGCACCATTTTGTAGGATTTAGCCACTGAAATCACAAAAGGTTGAATTTCCCTGTTCAGCAGAAAAACTGAATTGAAGTAGATTTAAGTCGAAATCTCCAAAAAAACACCATTAAATAACCATCGAAAAAATGAGTTGGGGATGTTCAAACACACCGGGGATAGGGCCAACAGAAATGACCGAAACTGGTGAGACTGATGTCGTTGGGAACCCAAAACTTGGGATGTTTCCAGCTTCAGCGGGTCAGTTTTGATTCACCCTCCAATAATCCGTTCGGGCTTGTCTGAAAAATAAGCTGCGCCATGGTTTTCTATGTTCTTTCATCATTTTCTGGGCATATGATGGGTTTCTATGATATATAATGAGATATAACCCATACTAACCCATATAATAACCCATATAATAACCCATATAATAACCCATATAATAACCCATACTAACCCACCATTTTCCATATGAATTCGCCATGTTGGCATGATCTCCACCCTTGTTAACCATGAATTTTCTGGGTGAACTCCGTCCGCGAAATCCACGAGAGATGGATTTTAGTAGTGGTTAGTAGTGGTGACTTTTCATGGTGACTTTCATGGGATCTTTCATGGTATTTACTGGGATAGTATACTATAGTTAAATGATAGTGATTTATAGTGGATTAATGGGATTTATAGTGATTTAATGGGATTTTATAGTGATTCAATGGGATATTAATGGGATATACCCTCTGGTAAACGAACTAACAGTTTGCGACATTGAACATGCCCAGTCGAAATAGTTGATTTACCCATGAATAATAGTGATTTTCCATGGCTATCTTAGTTTACCAGAGGATAAACAAGCCACCATTTATAGATGATTTTCCCAATGTAGAGGATTTTTCACTATATATCTGGTTGGTGGTTTGGAACATGGCTTTTATGACTTTCCATTCAGTTGGGAATGTCATCATCCCAACTGACTTTCATATTTTTGAGAGGGGTTGAAACCACCAACCCAATATATATATATATAGAGATATAAGATAGTTAAGATTCTCCAGCAAGCCATGTTTGATTACCGGAGGGTACGTAACTTTGATTGTCCTGCAAATAACATAGATACTGAACATGGATCTTCATCATTTCCAACGTGGTACCCCATAGTTAGCTAAGGTGATGAACATAACCACGGCTAAGAATTGGGTTTATGGATGTTTATGGTAGATACCATGATATGTCTGTAGTATTCATAGTCAATCTTTTTTAATTGGCGTTATAAATGTTGTGAACCCATTCTTGTTGTTTTCCATATCGTTTTCTACGTTTCTCCTGGGATCTACATCAAAAATCCGCCAGTCCTGACGTCGTAGGCAAGGCCGTAACGCCATCAACGTGAAGGTTCTGGGCATCTTCGCCTCGTTACTGGCGGAGTATTCGCAACCGAGACTTGGTGGGAGCTGGCGAACGGTTCGGAAATGTCCCAAAAATGGAGGTACTCCAACGTTGGATGCTTTGATATTTAATATGTGAGGCAAAATATGACATCAATTTGGGGATGATTTTGGAGTACTCACACTTTAGGAATCTTTAGGAAATACTCAAATGCTGTCGAAAAAACTGGTTGCATTGTGACCTTGCGACAACGTCACCACAGATGATGGGTAGTAGGGGAACTTGTCCCCAAATGACCTTGTCTTCAGGGTTGGTGAATTGTACTAAGATTTAAAAAAAACAAGAAACATATGGAGAATCGGCCATAAACACAGGATCAAACCAAGCCAAAAATGTGATTAAATGGTTAAATCAGAATTTACCATCATGAACCATTAAATCATAAACAATCCTGAGTTTTTTTTTTGAAATTATCAGTATTGTATTATATTATATTATATTATATTGAAATTAAATTAATTAAATTAATTATATTATAATATATTATATTATATTATATTATAATTAAATTATATTATGTTATGTTATGTTATACTATATTACTTTACAGTATATTATACTATACTATACTATATTATATTATATTATGTTATGTTATATTATATTATACTATATTATATGATATGATATTATATTATATTATCATCAGAATCTCATTTTCAACACCAAAAAATCTGCAATAGATGCTGATTTTTTTGGTCAACCTGAGGATCTATATCTTTCAGATGTATCTCGGCCCTTTGTGGGAACTTGGAGGATGCCTGTTGCCGAGGGTCATGATAGACATCATCCCGAAACAAAAATCTAGGATTTTCTAGGGTTTTTCTAGCTGGCATAGCGAATTTCATATTGACCTCTGGGATAGTTTATGGCGGTCTACCACATACCACATTATATACCTCCCATCTACAATCTGAAACAGCCCTCAGAAACGTTCAGTGGAGATTTCATCACATCTTTAATATTGGGGGATGGGATTGCATATATACCCTCTGGTTATTTAACATAGCCATGGAAAGATCCACCCATTTTTAAGTTCGGTAAACCCAGGTAAACCATCTATTTCGATTAGGGCCATCTATACCATGGCAAACTGTTAGTCATAACCAGAGGGTATCATCATTCACATAACTAGTTCGAGATATCCACCATAAACATGCATAAGCCACAGAAAAAACCTGGTGAAATAAACTTCCCAACTTAGCGTTCTCGTTTCGTTTTTAGGGGCGCACCGTCATAAAAAATGAATGATTTTGATCCACTCAGACTATGGCCATATGTTATATGTTGTTTTTTTGAGCTCGTGGTATGCCAACGTGAAATGGCTGGTTTTTGAATGCGTCCTACCTTAGGAAATTATTTTGAGGTGGGGGTTGGTTCCAAAATATTTTTTTAAAAATAATTTCCATTTTAAACATAAATTTTATGTTAAAATCACCCGACAAGAGCCATAGCAAAATAATTTTTGCACCCGTACCTTGATGATGGTGCAAAATAATTTTCCACCTACAGAGGTTGAAGCACCTTGAAATAATTTTAAACAAACAACTTAAGGCACCTCAAAATAATTTCTCAGTTGATCTGGGGAAATTATTTCATATAGTTCCAACTGTATAAAATAATTACCAGACACCCATGATGAAAATTATTTCATGGGGTGGGGGTACTTGCAAACCACCTGCAAAATAATTTCAGCATATTACATCAAATTTCAACTACATATTTCAACATGTTCAGTCAGGATCTTCTTTGAATCAATCTGCAGCCATTTCCAACTTCATTCAAGCCACATCCCGTCAATCCCAACACATCCCAGGGAAGTTGAGTTTTGCAAGGTTAGGTTTTTTTGGATTTCTGGGGTGGTCTAGTAGTTAACCACCCCCAAAATAATTTTTGGGGAGAGAGGAATCGATTCAGGTTTCTTTGCCCAAAAGCCGATGCTAAGTCGATGTTCTAAAAAATAATTAGTTCAGCAAGTAATTCATGGTAAATCTCAGGGTTTGTCTGTTCGAGGCAATTTGGATTTTGAACTACTCAATGGGAAGTTAATTTTGCCAGTTTAGGCTATTATTATTTCTGGGGTGGTTTAGTAGTTAACCACCCCCAAAATAATTTATGGGGTAGGAAGGGGTCGATTCAGATTTCTTTGTCCAAAAATCGATGGTCTAAATCATGAAATTCCGACAATGCTTGTCGGGTGCATTCGGGAGGATAGGTAGGGTGACCCCCCAAAATAATTTTGTGGGGATTTTGCTATTTATTTTGAGGTGGTTCTACTTGTTTTTTTCAATCATCCAAAACCATCTTAAACCACCTTGAAATAATTTCCAAAATTATTTTGAACTAAGGGAAGTGTTTTTGAGTAATAGTAGAACCCTACAAAATAATTTATTTGCAAATTTTCAGAAATTATTTTGAGGAGGTGGGTAGTGATAAAGGATATTATTTTGGGATGGTTAGAGTGCTTTGGAAAAAAATATTTTGTAGTGGGTTATGTACTGAAGCACCTCAGAATAATTCTGAAAAATTATTTTGGGGGGTCACCCTAGTGATTTTACCCAGGGTAGCCCGCATGTTTTTGATGTATACATGATTTCTATGTCTATGTCTGCAGTTCAATTGATGCTCAGTTCTTGATTGAGGAAGGGCACCACAGCCAAAGGCAATCAAAGGCACGTTTTTTTTTGCAAAAGAATGTATACATAGTGAATTATACATCAATATACATCATTAGCTCAATCCCCACGCTCTGATAATTTCTTTTTTATATATTTGTTTGATGATTTCCAATTGACAAATCTCTGCTTCGCTTGAATAACTTCAATCATTTCTGGTTGATTTTCATCAGCATTTTGCGAATCTATTGGGGATTTCACCATGGGTTCAAAGCATACAGTTATGTCCCTTTACCAGTTGTAAGTACTTATAACCCCATTTATAGAATGTATAATCTCATAGAAATAACCAGTTATAACTAATAAATGGCTTTCAAACCATACTATGGGGATTAAAAATTGATACGTATGATGGCAGATGCCCATAGATGCCCTAGTTTGGGGCACCCAAGGTGGGGCCCCTTTTTTCGTGAACGCGAAAAGTTGCTTCGGAACGTTCGGTTTTTTGCATGGGATTTAACGGGGTTTATGGTGACTTCATGGGATTTTATGGTGACTTAATGGGAATTAATAGGATCTATATAATGGGATTTACTGGGAGATACCCGGCCTGGGAAACGTTTACAAAAAACTATGGAAAGATCCACCATTTTTAATGGGAATATCAACTATTTCTATGGCCATTTTCAATAGCAAACTGTTAGTTTACCAGAGGGTATATCTATAGATAATGGGGTTCATACACCACCAAACATAACGGGGGGGCACCAGAGTAGTTCCATGCTAAACCCTGCTAAACCCTATTAAATCCCATGAAAAAAACATTTAAACCCCAGAAAACACTCTTAAACCCCTTATATAAATCCCTGGTTGGTGGTTTCAAACATTTTTGATTTCCCATGATATATGGGATGTCATCCTTCCCAACTGACGAACTCCATCATTTTTCCAGATGGTTATTGCACCACCAACCAGCTATAAATTATGGCCATGTAGAAGTGGGTAACTCTCAAGGATGTGCATCTGGTGCTACCTCTTCTTTGACTCCTGGAGCGCTTGGAATCACCACGGCTGGCTGGCGATGTGATTCCAATGGGGATTTGACCATAGAGATTTCACCATGGGGATACGTATGGCATCCATGGCATGGATTGGCATGGGAGATCTTCAGGATCCGAGAAATAGTGGAGGTACCTACCATTGATATTTTTGGCCTATATAAGACAGGCCTAAATTTCAGGGAATATCCCCACAATTCATATGGCCAGAAATATGGTACGTTTACATACCTCCATAAATTGGATCCTGAAATTCCCATTGTATGGTGGGTTTACGGAGATACTGTGGATAGAAGAAATCCTGCACCAGTTGATAGGTTGTTATCCCATGTTATCCCATTATTTTGTTGGGGTTTCAAGCATCCAAACATGTCATGAAATACTTTCTCGTGCGTTTTACGTAGGGAATGGATGGGTTGCTGGGGGTTGCTGGGATCATTATTCATAGTTAGCCAGTGGATAATTCCCGAAAATTCTCTACTCTACGTTTAGCACTAGTAAGAATATTGATTTTACATAAATTGGACATCTCCATGTTGAATCTCAGGGCACCGCAAATTGGGCTTGAAGATATTGGGATATCATTGATAAATTATGATGGTTTATAAAATAGGGAGTTCTACCGAATTTATTGGGGATTATGATTATGATAAGCCTTTTTGTAGGGACACCGTTTTCAACAAACGAGCTTTTCATCAGATGGGACAACGGGGCTCGAGCGTAGATGATCATCCTGGAAAGCATAATACACCCGTACACCCGTGTTAGAATTCATAGATAAACTAACACTTTGCTACGGAAAATTCTGCATTTCTAGTTGATTTACCTATTGAACTGGTGATTTCCCATAGCTTTTTGTATGTTTACCACAGGGTAAGTCCCTGAGTCGGTTTTCCTTCCGTGATCTCTCGCGATTCTCGTGAATCAGGTCTTTGGTCTATGGTTTTGTCTGATGGGAAACCACCAAGATCCCATGAGAAAATCATGGTCCCTGTTATTACCCTCTGGTAAACCTACAAAAAGCTATGGAAAATCACCATCTTTAAGTTCGGTAAATCAACTATTTCTATGGTCATTTTCAATAGCAAACTGTTAGCTTACCAGAGGGTACTTCTTTCTTCCCCACCGCAATTGAAAGCCTTACAGGCACTCAGGAATGACTATGAACGCATTCAAATCGCGACAGCTCACATTCAGATACCCAACAGACCTCGAATCTGGTCATCTGGGTGCGAACATGAAAATGGGGTGCGCCCCCGAAATGCTATGGAATGCACGTATGAATATGAATGTACTGATATTCATATCAATGATAACAACTCGATTATGATGATTGATGATGATGATGATGATGATGATGACGATGATGATGATGGTGATGATGATGATGATGATGATGGATGATGGATGATGGATGATGGATGGGGATGATGATGATGATGATGATGATGAGGAGGACGACGACGACGACGACGACGAGGATGACGATGACGATGACGACGACGACGATGAGGATGACGATGACGACGACGATGACAATGACGACGACGTTGATGATGATGATGATGATGATTTTATTTTGTTGGGTGCCATTGTTTTCACCGCGCAAACCATCTCGTTATTCCTGCAGGGCCATGGCAATTTACCAAAGTGGCGGGAGACATCCAACATGGACGCCCCTATCAATGAATCAGTGGGTTTGGGGATGACCGATGATTTTGGAGCCCTATTTTTGGTGGTTCAACCCAGCATTTTCCATGATCACCGCCCCAATTTTTGATTCCTGACACTTACCCCCCGGTCATTTCACATACCTATGGAACATCACCGTTTTCAATTGGTAAATCATGTACAAATGGGCCATGTTCAAGAGCTACGTTAAATTACCAGAGGGTATATCGAAGTAAATCCCATTAGATCCCATCAAGTCACCATAAAACCTCATTAAATCCCATTTAGTCACCATAAAAGCCAGATGAAGCTTCTTCTTTTGTTTTAGTGGACCTGGGTGCTGCTTCTTCTGCTCGGGTTCCCGCAGGAACATTGCACTGCTGTGGGTTTTTCTGGTCTTTGGCAGTGGTGCTTGGTGCTTGGGAGCAAGAGTGCTGGGGTCTGCCTGGGTAAATATCATGGGATACTGTGGATGGAAGAAATCTTGCACCAGTTGGTAACCGTTAGGTAACTATGAAACATTGTAAATAATGGGATTATAAGGGTATAAACCATATACCAACGGGTGCAGGATTTCTTCCATCCACAGTATGTCGGATACCCTCTGGTAAACTGGTAAACTGACAGTTTGCTATGGAAAATGGGTGATTTATAGTTGGTTTATCCAAAAAAACGTGCTGATTTTCCAGTTCGCAAACTATTAGTTTACCAGAGGGTTCTGTCTGGGATGGTACCTCATTGACGACTGCTATGACTTTAAGATGGGCCCCCAAGATAGCGTTCAGTTTCCTCATAAGTGGCTGAATTCTATGGTTTATGGTATATATAGTAAACATAACTATAGTTAATAGGGTTTATAAACCAACTTACAATTGGGGGGCACCATCCTGTAGCAACCATGATATTTACCTTAGTAATATAACATTAATATCAAGCAATGGACTATGTTTCTGGTTGGTTGTTTGACATATTTTTTGAGTTTGATTTCATCTTGCCTGGGATATCCTGGGATGATGATCGCCTTTGACAGTATATTTTTCAGTGATGTTGAAACCACCGACTAGTATATCTATATTATATATATAAAAGTGGTTGGTGGTTTGGAACTTTTTTTTCTCCATATATTGGGAATAATCATCCCAACTGACTTTCATATTTTTCAGAGGGGTTGAAACCACCAACCAGTATTATATATATATACATATGAGTCACGGTCAAAATGGTTGAAGACCCCCCAAAAGCGATCACCATAACAATAGCAACTACTCAGATGTAAAGGATTTTGACGGGAGCTCATATGTACGTAGATACACATACCTCAAGAATGGGTTTGATTGTCATTCTTGGTGGGTACACACAGAAGTTGTGGCAAAACCTATAACGTTTGTATCCCAATATCCATGGTGTATTGAGATTATTGAGGTTGTATCCTATTGAATGATTGGCAATATCAACTATGAGTCCATATCCATGATAAATTGAGGTCATATTTCTATACGGTATGTATATATATATAATTATATATATATATCACATATGTCACGCTAGATCTACATGTTGCAACCCCAAGCCCAGCAATGAACCATCCCAGTACTCAATCATTTGGAGGTCATTTTACATCATCACGAATAGGGATATACCCAATAACAAAAACCAAAGGAGGATAGTCTCTTATTAGGTTTATCTCATGAGCCCCCTATGCTGAGTATATCCTTGAATTAAACCCACAAGTATTGAAGTCTATTGTCAAGTCCAATCGTATTGTAGCCTATTGGGCTTGTCTGGAAATGTTTATTACGCCAGAAGCCAATTTTAGCAGGGACAACGATGATTAACATTGATTAACCACCAACACTTGTGATTTTTTTCCCTAGACTTTCAGGTACCAAACCCACACACACATATACAATTTCTGTATATGATCTGATCTGTATACGTATATATACATACATATGCATACACATGTGTGTATATATATATATATAACCCCCCAAAAAAAAGCTGTGACAGAGGAACACAATCTACAAAACGTGATATTAATGAACATTTAACATCATTTAACCCAAGATAGCCTCTGGTAATTTAACGTAGCTATTGAAAATTGCCATCAAAATAGTTGATTTACCCATTAAAACTGGTGATTTTGTATAGCTATGTTAGTTTACCAGAGGGTATCTCCCAGTAAATCCCATGAAAGATCCTATTAATTCCCATTAAGTCACCATAAAATCCCATTAAGTCACCATAAACCCCGTTAAATCCCATTCAATCCCATGAAAGATCCCATGAAAAGTCACCATTAAGTCACCATTACTAACCACTACTAGCCATAAACCCCATTAAATCCCATTAAGTCAGTATCAACCAGAGGTCCTTGCGACGCCGAGCAACCGAGGACCAGCTTGATGATCCTGCGTCGAAATCAACAGCAGATCGCTGCCACTGGGCGAAACAAAAATCGAACCGTGAGTGGGGAGCTCACCATTCAAAGATATACAGTGTATAAATAGTGGGATTAATGGGGATCCACCATTTTTCATGGGAAAATTCACTATTTCGACTGGGCCATTTTCAATAGTTATGTAACAAATTACCAGAGGGTATAGGTATAGGGTATTATACTATAAATAGTTGATTTACCCATGAATAATAGTGATTTTCCATGACTATCTTAGTTTACCATATGATTTGGGTGTGTCTGAAAATTACCATCTGTTTATGACTAACATAGCCATGGTATAGATGGCCCATAGAAATAGATGGTTTACCTATTAAACATGGGCGATTTTCCATGGCTATGTTAAATAACCAGATGGTATACAGTGTATACATAGATAGTCTGGTTGGTGGTTTGGAACATGGCTTTTATGACTTTCCCATCATATTTGGAATTTCATCATCCCAACCGACTTCATATTTTTCAGAGGGGTAGGTCAACCACCAAGCAGTAGTATATATATATATAGTATATATATATATATTTGGTATAATGGAGATATTTCATGGGAATATCTATAATGATTTCACACGAACCGTGAAATATCTCCATTTTATATCGCAGGGATTGGGATCCCAGCAACTTGGCAGAATTGAAAGCTACATATAGCCAGTAGCCATTCCCATGAAATAGCATCTTTGTTGAATCATCATATATATATATATTCCCATTATTGAAATCAAACACAACCAATATTATATTCCCATATATATTCCCATGATTTCATCATTATTATCATGACTTTGTAGCCATTCCCAACAAAAATCATTGTTCATCATCATATAGATCATCATAACTTACCCATTGAAAATACTTTGGTCACACAACACTGTAAATACCAATATTTTTGACCATTTTCAGAGCAAAAATCACTTTACCATGAGGGGCCGTTCTGTTGAAAATTGGCCATTTTGTTCAGGAGATGGTGAACTCGCTCAGGAGATGGCCGCCGCGGGAGGACATCGCTTGGAGAAGGTACTGCGTGATGGACAGTGGAAGGACTGCGCTGCCGCTGCCGCGGCTGCTGCGGATCTGGGACTTGGGAGTTGAACTGGTTTTGTTGGGGGTTTATAGATGTTGATACCCTCTGGTAAACTAACATAGCTATTGAACATCACCATTTATAGTGAGTTTTCCCATTAAACATGGTGATTTTCCATAGCTATGTTAAATTACCAGAGGGTACTTTCTTTTTTGTTGGGTTTATAGGTGTTGAACTGGTTTTTATAGCTGGTTTTGTTGGGTTTTTGTTGATGGGCTTTCATTTTTTTTAAACGTATCCATTTGAGCAGTGGCTGCTAAATCTCGGTTGATGATTAGTTAGGGGGTGATGATCACACTCCATGAGGTGGGAAATCCGTTCTCAACCAACCAGTATCAAGGGACGACAGAGGGTATTGAACTCTGCTCATTTTGATTAACCAGGGTTTATCATTCTGGGGTTGACATTGCACGTAGATGACACAGTTGAGACTAAGACTAGTGACTAAGATGATGTCTCTGTATGTGTGTATAAATGGTTTGTATCATATCGTATAATATCATATAATATACAGACATTGAATAGTACCATGCAGTCTATCCTGCTACGCAAATATCATTTGTATCATACGGTAAGAATATATACATATATACAATTATATACATGGTTATGGGTCAAAACCATGGTACCCTAGGTGCCATAAAATAGCTGGTTAATGGATGGTTATCCCCCAGTCATATGGCAGGTTTTGAGGTTTTGACCCTTCCCAGATTAGTGTACACAGACATTTGTTATTTCGACTATTGACTGTCAAGCAACGCGTCTTTTTTTGGGGGTTAGCAGTCTTGACCTTGCTACCACTTGCTGGTCATGTCGGTTTTCAACGTGGGTTTATCCCAAAATGGGTTTTACCAAAAAATATAGGGAAACCAGCGATAAACCATAGGTTCAATTAATGGGTTATATTGGCAAAAATACAAAGGTTCCCTAATATTGAGACAATCCGGTTTTTTGGATCGTTTTTAAGGATCCCGCGAATTGAAAAACCAATTTACTTAATTTTACTTATATCAAAGGACATCACAAGATAACACACATGAACATTGGGTATGCCGACTGCGAGCCTGGTCCTGGATGCCGTTATTCTAAGTGACGAATCTCGAATTTGCCCAAAGTGAATTTTTGATTATTATCCCATTACCCATTGGATCCATGTATGCTATATATGGTAACATTTGCCATCAATATACCCCCCATGTTAGCATATATACCATACATGGATCCTATGGGTTAGTAAAAAAAACACACATTTGGGGAATTTATATAGGGACAACTTTTTGGATCTGCGCCATCTTGAGCAAATCTCAGGAGTTATTTAACCCAGAGATTTGGAATGACGAGGGGCCAGTGATGGAAAAGATCCGCTTGCAAACATGCGCCAACAACCGATGTCATGACAGTGATAATTTGGGTGGGACCATCACTCATGTCGTAAACCCAAGAAAAGTTGCCAAGTGGGGAGGGTTTATAGCCCCATATTGTTTTACTATTTTGTTCACCACATTAGTTGAGATGAATTTCTCATGAATTTTCAATATTTGTTTAGTAACACTGGGCCAACCTCCAAGGCCTTTTTTTTCATTTTTGTAATGACGCACCCCTATTACCAGTCAGAAGGAGTCCAGAAATGAATCCGAATTCATCCCCAACCCCAACAGCGCAGGGTTCTTTTTTTTGGGTATGGTGAATACCCTCTAGCTATGTAACATGGCTATGGAAAACCACTTTTTAAGAGGTAACTCAAAATCATCATCATCATCATCAGCATCATCATCATCATCATCATCATCATCATCATCATCATCATCGCCATCATCATCATCATCATCATCATCATCATCTTCATCTTCATCTTTATCTTCATCTACTATGGAGGGGCCATTTCCCATACTGTAGCTACGTTAAATAACCAAAGGCTGTCACCTGAGAATTGATTGGGTCAGTTTCGACCCTGAGAGTGACTGCGAAGCCACAAGCTTGTGAATGTTGCTCTTGAAAGCAACGAAGTAATTCGATATATCTACCATTAACCATAGTAATTAATATATTCTTATAGTCATTTATAGTATATTATAGTTATTTGCAGCACCTTAGCTATCGTTTTGAAGCGGGCCTCACCTTGTTTTTGAGACGGGCTTGTCCATTAAAGTTCTTTACCCATCCATCCGTGTCCAGTTGATGCAGATTTTGGCAACCAATCCATTTATCAATGGGAATTCCAGGATCCTAAAATGGAGGTTAGCCCTGAAAAATAGGCCTTATATTAATGGTAGGTACCTCCAATAAATCGGTTTCTGAAATGGCCATTGATTTAAGACTCCAGCCAATATTTACTTACTTGGATGATCCAGAAAACTGGAACTGCATATGGTTAACAAAAGGGGTATATCAATTAATATAGTAGACACAACTGACACAACCTATATTATTGGATTACTAGGAAACACCATGGCATATAACTTGAATAATGGATTAAGATATGACCATGGAAGGTGTAACAGCACATGGTTAATAAATGAGTCATATCCCAATCTATTCCAACCATGCGTCCGGTGATATCCCAGCTGCTTGGCGCAGTTGCCTCTCCCGCCCATTGCTCTGGAGCATTCCACGTCTGTTCTTGTGGCCAACAGGTGGAGAATTATTCTCAAGACCCAACTGGTGATGGATTAATCTTCTAGGGGGTTATGAATCTACCTGGTTTACTGGGGATCATTGGGGATCACTAGCTAACGCATAATCAACTGTGAATAACATTGAACAACTAGTTGCCAGCCAACATGTTCAACCAGCAGTTACATACATCCACGGCTACTGCAAGACCCACACAAGGTTTTGGTCATTGTGAATTTAAACAACAGCTCATTTTTTGGGTATCCAATTTGGAGCCCGTGCCATTCACATGTATCTTAATTGACATCTTATCAAATGTATTGTTTTCTAGATCCAGGGCTGGAATGCCCGTTTCATGTGCTGGAAGCCATCTTCATGTACCCAATGCTTCTTTACCTCTGGGCAATGTGTGCACTGTCAAGACCACAAGCCAAGAACATCATCAAGGTTCCAAGGAACAGTTTGTGCTAGAAAGTAGTCGTCCACTCACAGACATCGAGGGAAGCAGTATCAGCAACACCTTACGCCATGCACGCTGCCCACTTCTGCAGGTTTGCCCGGTATTGGCATGGGCATTGCGTTTTGTTGGATCTTCAATCGAACCCCCTGCGGCGTGGGTGATGTTGAAGCAAACTATTTAATGACCTTTGCGTGATAGCCTTTGAGCGTGGCCGTGTTTGCGAAATTGCGGCACTGCGCGAAGCGCCGTGTGGTCTGTTTTGCTAGGGCCATATTGAAAGCGTCATTGAACGTCGGATACAGATAAAGAATGCGAAACCGGAAATTGCAAATGAAAAGCTGAGTTTAATCTCGGCACGGAAGGGTCCATGCATTTTTTGCTGGAAATGCCCTTGTGGTCGCATTTTGCTGATTGTCCGTACTTCTGCTTTTTCTTGGATTTGGCTGGTTCTATCTTTGTTTTATGGCGCCCAAACCGATAGGTTGCATCCCCCAGCTGTTCCTGTTGTTTAGGACGTGCCTGCCACGGACTTGACCTTGGGCGATGTGGTGCAGGCTTGGCCGACTTGGATGAAGCATGTGATCAGGTACATGGGGGCGCATCCAAGTGAGCAAGTGGGCAAAAACATGGAATATCCATAAAAAACAACATATATTGTGTATATTATATATATAAATAAATATATATATATATATTCATGTATAAATATATATTCTATATATATATATATATTTCCCCAAGTATATATGGTTGTAAAAATTATGAACTGGATTCACGCCCAAATTTGTTGTGATATTACATTGGTCCGTCTGAATTTGGGGCATGCCCCCCAAAAAAATGACAAGGGAAACTTGAATAGCCCGTGGACCCGTGCATTTTGGGTATCCGTATTTTTGAAAGAAACCTGCATCATTGCGTAGTCCCTGATTGGGTTTGCATCATGCAGTATCCACGCACGAAGATGTGCATATATACTTCGCTTCCCAATTGAAAACAATTCAAACTAACCATGTTGAACGACATGCTGTGGAACACCCAGCTGAAGGACGGAAATAAGACATCGAACAAGGGAATTTGATATCCGTTTTGCCCAGACAACTAGATAGAAATGTGTTCAGGGGAATGTAGAAAAAGTATACGCTTGAGTGTGTCAGCAATTGTTTTTGGCCATAGGACCCGACATGCGTTTGTTCGTATTTTAGCAACCTGCATGTCAAAATCATCCATGTCACAATGCGTGGGTGGAGGGAAAATCAAAAATAGTAGAGCACATTACTGGGATGATGCAAAACATTCGCATTTTTTCTCTCCATTATTTCGCAAACGCAGTGCAAAATAAATGCATGCTGATCTTTGAAGTGCAGCTTGCCCTGCTTGCAGTTTTTTTTCACATCAACCAAATCATTCATGCATTTTGACACAACAATCCAAATAATGAGTAGAAACATGCTTTAAAGTGCATCATTGGACAATTATGTTCACTCTTCCCACATTTTTGTGTTTGTTTGATTTTTTCTGTCACGTCCCCGATCAATCATACTACGTTCTTCGTTGCGGTGTTTTTTTCCTTTTGTTCTTAGTTGCGTTTGTTGAATTTTCTATGGGCCAGTTGCATTTTATTTTACCACAACTATATATATATATACATATAATACTTAGTAATAGTGAATACATACTTCCGACAATGTAAAATGGCAATCTACGAACTGCAACCTCTGGGCATCTCACCATTCTGTAGCCATTCTCCCAGTGAATACATGCTACCCGCAACTTGGTCGCCGATCGCAACCATTGCGAATTAAACCTTCATTGATATCACTACTTTTCTTCGTGACATCCCAGTTTTAGCAGTATTCAATGGTGGAATTGTTGATTTCCTGGTGGCCTTTCCCATTGATTATTTCCCCATTCGTTTTTTGAAAACACACATTGAACAAATCCTGATAGCGTATTTATCACCACCCCAATGTTGCCACTTGAATTCAACTTTCACCATTGCCACTTTTTCATGTTTTTCCTGGTTTTACCGCATTATTCAAAAATCCCCTGATCAAAAACTGTTTCACTGTTTCATTGAAAAGGTCTGAAGGGTTCTTCAGTGAATTTCCCTGATGATTATGGATGATACTTCAAATTTACCAACTGGTTGGTGGTTTCAAACCATGGATTTTTATTTTCCATTTCATATATGATAGATGTCATCCTAACCCCATTGACGAACTCATATTTTTCAAGATGGTGAAATTGCACCATCAACCAACCAAGTTTCTTGACCCCAGTTCATGTCGGCACTAAAAAAACACACTGTCTGTCTGAAAGTCGATGATCCGAGGAAAGCCATGGGTTGATTTGCCAACCATTGGGGGGTCACCACAAAACATGTGCCGTGAATGGTTTTCTTGGGGGAAGCCATGGTTGTTCGCCATATTTAAGTGGTTAGAATATGATAGAATATGTTGTTTAGGTTTTTTTTCCTCCGTCATTGACTACATCAAAACTCAGACTCTCCAATTTTCATTAACATGGATATGGAAAGTTTATCATTTGTAGATAATTTTTCTGACCACAAAACCATGGTTGTTTACCATATCTAGGTTAGTTGTTGAGTTTGCATCCCATTTTTCATCAGCAAACATCTCATGAAAGTTTGCGAAGATTTATCCCAATAAGACGAGTGGTTTGTAGCCTGGCCCAAGCAACACCCCTATCTGGTTGGTGGTTTGGAACCATGGAATTTTATTTTCCATTTCATGTATGGGATGTCATCCTAACCCCATTGACGAACTCCATCATTTTTCAAGCTGGTAAACTCACATAACTATGGAAAATCACAATTTTTTTCCATAGCTTTTTGTATGTTTACCAGAGGGTAAAACCACCAAGCAGCCTATGTTTTGACGTGGAAATTCCTGGCCCATCCCCGTTGATTTGCTGAAAAGACCGGTTTGTTTGTTGATGAGCCAATGGTAATGGACATGAACCGAGCGACAAAAACCTCCATTAAGACATGGATTTTAGGTAATAAATTGTTTATACAAATGGATTTGAGTTACATAGTTTGATTAGCTGTATTTTTTGGTATCTATACAAATGATTTTTCCGAGCTATAAACCTCAATTTAGATAGGATCTCCCAGCCACCTTTGATTACCAAATTACGGCAAAACCACTTTTTGGGGTGCGGAGGAAATGTCGGTGTTTCAAAACATCTCCAGTAACTTGGCTTTGTAGTAGATATTAATCGAAGTATAGTCATAAAGTAGTGGTAGATATAAGATGATATAAGCTAAATAGACTATGGTTTATGGATGTTTATGGTAGATATAACTTAACTAATTATAACTTAACTAGCTAACCTAGCTTAAATCTTGATTTATGGTAGATATACTGGGTTTTTGAACCAAATGATCACTGGGGGCGGCAGCGCCCTTGACGTTTTTTGCGCAGGTCAAGGACGGCGTGGTCTGTGCTGACTTGGCGCTGGTGGCTGGCAGTGCGGTGGTCAACGAGCACTTGGGATTGGATCAGCACGGGATTTCATGGAAGAATGGGATATGGGGGTTTCCATAGTCAATGGGAATTTCAGGATCCTAAATTGGAGGTACCTACCATTAATATAAGGCCTATGTTTCAGGCCTATGTAAGGGAATATCCCAACAAAATATGGCCTTATATGGTACAGTACCTCCATTTTAGGATCCTGAAATTCCCATTGACGTAGTCGTGGGGGTACCCCAAGCTCGCTGGATGGTTTATATCATGGAAAATCCGAAAATTAAAGGGATGATGACTGGGGGTAGCCCTATGACTTAGGAAACTACCATATGGTGGTTGAATCATCCAAGAATGGGCACCAGTTGATTGAATCATCCAGGAATTTTCAGGCGATATGGTGGTTGCAAATGGGGAGAGAATGATATATAATTTATATAATGGGTGATTAAACGATGATTGAAACCTAAGAAACTACTGGTGGTTGCAAATGTGGCTGAGAATGTTTTATATTTCATGGGATACATTTTGAAGAACCCCTTTGTGCCGTGATCAATTTCTTTGGATTATATTCTGAAAGTGGGGATGGGAAAAGTCAATCCATTTTTAGGGGTTATATGTTTGGATTTCCATGAAAAGATAGATGACCATGAACCATATAAGTACCATGTTTTGACCCCAGCAGATATGGGGAGTTCAGGGTAAGCATTGGTGAAGAGTAGTTTAGTACTTCCCTTTTTGCAAAGATGGTGCCATAAATTCCCCAACTTCACTAGATTTTCTTTTGACATGGACCCTCCAAAAGTGGAGGTTTATATTCTATAGCATGGAGTTTACCACGCGACTCATTTTGTTGGGTAGTTTGGTGGTTATATATCGGCTACTGGTTTTGTATCCGAATTGGTTGCAGCTATTTTCCATTTCGGGGTACCCTTGCGTCTATAGAAAATGATGTTCCATATCGTTTCGTAGCCTAGTTCAAGACCATCCCAGATATACATACCCTATACATGTAACAGTCCTATAGAACCTGTCTAATTATACATGTATATTCATAGAAGATCCATGTCGATTTCTTCCCATGAACAGAACATATATCGTGGGGTAAACGTCGGACATGGAAAACTTATGGTTTCCCCTTGGGGAAATCATCAAAAAAGTCTATGTTAATGAGCAGAGAGTAATCTAATCTATCTACCTACCTAGCTAGCTAGCTATCTATCGGTTTATCTCTATATCTATCATTGGAATGGATGGACAAAAATCAGGACCTCCCGATATTTCATGGCATGGCAACAAGTAAAAACCCATGGTTTCCGGCATTTTCTGACCATCATCCGCGCCGAGGAGTATGTTGACAGGCGAGCCCATGCCCTTGCAAAAGGTGTCGCTGGAGCAGAATTCGGAGGCACTGTTCGACTATAAGAAACTTGGCTATGATTTATTTATGGATATTCAGATATTCAATCATATCTATTTGAAATAATGGGAATATAAATGGGAAAATCATCTATAAATCTAACAATGTTGGAGATCAATCCGCATGGAATTGCATCGTGATCTCACGTCGTATAGTATGAGAATTCGACGGAACCGTGATTGGTTTAAGATGATGAAAACTGGCGGATCTATTGGACGCATAATTTATGAATCTATTGGGTTTTTGTGGCTATGATGCTTATTGACTATCAGTCATTAACCATTGGGGATATTGATAAACCGGATATCGATAGATAACCATTGGTAAATCTGTGGGTTTGATGTGGGTAAACGATAGGGATGATAGGGTTTTAATCTTAGTAAAACAATCTGGTTGGTGGTTTGGAACATGAATTTAATGACTTTCCATATATTGGGGATAATCATCCCAACTGACGAACTCATATTTTTCAGAGGGGTAGGTCAACCACCAACCAGAACAATAATCAACCACTCATAGTTTGATGGTAGAATTGGGGATGGTGGATCCTATTGCTTAACAATGGGGCGAAGCCGCTACAGGTTTTAACTACGAAGGAACTGCTTTTCGGTCACCGCTGAACATAGCCATGTCATGGGAAAATGATGATGGTATTTAGGCGCTAAGCCTATTTTCAAACCCCATGGCTTATTTTTCACCTAAACATTACGTATAGCAAATTGCCCAGATCAATCCTTTTGAGTCGTATTTTATGAATCCCTTTACCCATGTGGTATTTATTTCATAATTACGGGCCATAGATGGATGGGTGGGTGGGTGGGTGGATGGATGGATGGATGGATGGATGGATAGACATACAGACAAATAAATAATTAGATAGATATATAGACGATACAATCAAAAACAACAGTCATGTTGGTGCACTTTATCTTAATCAGATGAATATGGAAAATGCATCTGGCATATACAGTAAATGTGGTAAGTGCACATATCACAATGGTTTTGCGTATGAACAAACATGTCAGACAAGTCAATTGGGAATACCAGTGTGCAGACGGCTTATATCATTTTGCTGAATGCGAGTCAATCACCCTATTTGACTATGAAAAAACACACTTCGCCACTGAAACTCTATAAGTCAAGGTATTTAGGCAACAAATGACAGGGTTTTTTTTTTGAATGACAGGTGCAACTCAAGTTAGAAAAAGCGGCCGGTGTTCATCGAAGCAGTTCATCCCGAATCTCTCAGGACGCACGGCAAGAAGCACGGTCTCTTTGCAGGTGCTGACCGGGCGCTTTCAGGGTCGGGTCAAAATGTCGGGCTGTCACATGTACCTGGTGAATTGAAGGGTTTGCTATGGAACATCACTATTATTTTTAAGAGGTACATGTGTTAAATCAGTGAAATCATCCATAAATGGACCATTTTCCAGTTCGCAAACTGTTACTCACTGTTAGTCATTACCAGAGGCTACATGATTGGATATCAAGCATCTTTGCGCAAAGCTGTTCAGCTGCTATGACCAACATCTTGATTCGCCACCCTTCAGGGGATGATCATGATGCAAGTTACGCACGCTTGTGATCTTTGGCAGTCTGCATGTCCTGGATTCCTGGGCTATCCGATCCTTATAGGTTAGTGGGGGAGAGTGACAAGTTCCCTTGAAGCCCCAGAAGCCGCCTTGCACACCGCCTCTTTGACGTGCTCAAAAAAAAAGCCCCGTCTGAGAGTCCTAGCCTAGTGAATTGGTAGGTAGTTGTTGTAAACCCGAAATATATTGGGATACTTTAGGGGTGTAGCCAAATACACACCCCGAACCAAAAAAGGATTGATGAACAGATCATGGTTACTGAGCCACCACAGAGGACCCCAGGTATGTTTGTTGGTTTATAGTTTATTTTCACCCATCCAACTGCACTGCATTACTATTAGACCCCAGTTATATTATATAATATTATATAGTGAAATCAACCAACATCAGTCATTAATATGTACCAGCAGACTGGGGTTTAATGGTCAGACGTGGTATAAATCTAGGACCTGGTGGACCAGTAACATCCCAGCATCTACCACAAAAAGCCGCTTGCCAAGTGGTGAATTTTTCACTCGCTCAGGGAGTGGTTTGGGTCGGATCCAAAAGGTTCGATGTGGTTTGGAACCATGGAATTTTTTGACTTTCCATACATTGGGAATTTCATGATCCCAACTGACTTTCAAATATTTTTCAGAGGTCAACCACCAACCAAATTCTTTTTTCAACATTTTTGATGCCTCAACCAGTTCAAGCCATTCGTTTTTCGCTAGCCGCGATGTGACAGATTGTTGTGTAACCCAAGAATCATAAGCATCAAGTTGGTTAAATATCCTACTGTCTCCCAAGTGATGTACCATTTTTATTGGTTTTATTATGAGGTTAATTCACCAATGTTCAGACACACTCATAGACCAACAGAAACCAAAATCACATACTATATATATAAAATATATACGTAATGATGTAATGTTTTTTAAATAACATTATGTATAATATTATATGTAATAATAATAATGTAATATATTATATGTAATAATAATAATGTAATATATTATATATAATATATATAATATATTATATATAATATATATATATATTATATATTATATATATTATATATTATATATTATATATTCTATATTATATATAGAATATATATTATATATAATATATTTATTATATTTTATATATTCTATATATAATATATAATATATATAATATATTTAATATATAATATATATAAGTTAGAGTAACGCACTGACGCACTTCGCATTTATATATACCCCCCTACGCTTTTACCATCATTTAAGAACAGGTGGATATTTTACCCCGTAATTTTTGGTATTTGAAGTGCGCCAGTGCTTCCTTATAGAATTTATAAAACCTATAACCTAAACCATAACAAACAACCAACAAAACAAAACTCAAACAACCTAAACAAAACAAACTATCCTAAAAATAACCTTACCAAGAAACAGAACAACCAACCAATACAAAGAAAACTCAATAGCAAAGAACAACATAAAAATCAATACAACAGACCACAATAAAAACTTTTCTTATGCTTTAATCATCCCATCTTACCCGTTTTCCATCATCATAATTCATCATAATTTCATCTTTACTCATCTTAATTCATCCTCATCATCATCATCATCATCATTTGAACTTTCATTGGTTTCTTGTTGTTCTTTTCCGCTTAAAAATGGCAAGCTGTCTATTATTGATTGAACAATAGTATGCCTTGTTGTAGTGGTTAGAATTTTCCCGTTCGTTCGTCCATTGCTCATTGCCCCGCCCTTTGCTACATCCTCACCGCACCCTTCTCGGTCTTGCTGTCGGGATTCTCAGATGGGATGGTATGGAAGTGCGAAGCCAGCAAGATATGCAGAAGGTTGATGCAATTGGAATTGAACAACTACTTATCGTAGCATGGTCTTTGTAGACCTGGATGCTCCGTAGTTGGGCTCAATCAGGGCCATTTTGCCAATTCGCGTTTTGCCACCCACTCCTCACTGGTACCTCCATTGTGGATTGCAACCAGGATATCGGGAGAACTGTCCATGCCAATGGGTTCAGATATGAACATGCGACTCTGGTTGCAGTTTGTGCTCTTGTTAGTTGCGAGACACTTCGCTCGAGGGCGGTCCGTGATGCCTGCACCTGCCAATGATGACGATGCCCAGGGATTGTTGCAGATTCCCGAGCACAAACTCAAAAAGCACTGCCTTCGCCCCAACGGCAGTGGACATTGGACTGCTCAGTGCTTTGAATGTTCCTATCCTCACAATTCGAGTAAGTTTCGCTTGTTTTGTGACTATTGCTGCTTCGTTTTTACTGATCCCAATATCACTCACAATGCTCTCACAGAAGTGAGACTGCCAATGGCGAATCCAGAAGGCACGGTTTCCCACCTGTGAAAGACTAAAAAAGAAAGGAAACTGCGAAAATCCACTATTCACAGTTTCCAGACTGTGAAACCACAGTTTCAGAACTGTGATGGTTCAAAGGCAGTGCGTTTCTGGATTCAAATTCAAGTTTTCGGTGATTATGCACAGGCATTTGGCGTGGCATTTTTTACATTCCGCTTTGCCTATTTCGCTTGTTTTGTGACTATTGTTGCTTCGTTTTTACTGATCCCAATATCACTCACAATGCTCTCACAGAAGTGAGACTGCCAATGGCGAATCCAGAAGGCACGGTTTCCCACCTGTGAAAGACTAAAAAAGAAAGAAAACTGCGAAAATCCAATATTCACAGTTTCCAGACTGTGAAACCACAGTTTCAAAACTGTGATGGTTCAAAGGCAGTGCGTTTCTGGATTCAAATTCAAGTTTTCGGTGATTATGCACAGGCATTTGGCGTGGCATTTTTACATTCCGCTTTGCCTTTTAAGGAGGCAAGCATGACAAAGACCGCAAATGCCCATCAAGAGAGGAAGACAAAAAGAATTCAAGCAGGTTTTGGGCAAGTGCTTGGTATTTGGAAGTCGCATGAATTCCTGCGTTAAAAACACACTTGTGTATCAATCAACACTCCCACTCCACCGGCTCAAACTGCCCATCCCGAGGTTGAAAAGACAAGCTACAGAATGTCAAGCAGAAGGTTGAACCAGAGCATGGAGGGGCATGACATTTGGTCATGAATTCAACCAGAAGCTGGAAGGAGTGAAACTACCAAACAATCTTCCAAACTCAACTCTTTGGGAGGGTTTATCCAATCCCTTGTGGATATATAAATACAACCTACCCACGTACCCCTCACACACACAACATATCATAAAATAATATTATCCTCGCACATTCACCCCCCCTTTCAAGATTTCAGGTCTTGAAACAGTCTGGCACTGCCGTGGATGGGAATGGGGACTGGGTTGAATATAAATATCATTCTATATCTATATTTATCTTATCTTTGACGAAGGCAACGCCACAACAGCTGACCCAGTTGCAGGCACAGTATTTTTGTGTGGCAAGGCGCAACTAACTAAAACATACAATATTTACAGCAGTCATAATTTCTTCAACTAATGCTTGAGGTATTCTATACAACTCCTTCTGTTTGAACAAAGTGTAGCCTTCTTTCCAGTTTTCCTTCTTCCCACTGAGTGCCCTCTGTGCTGTTTCTTTATGACGGTTTCCATCCATACTTCCACAATCTCTTTTACAAAGAGGTCTAGGTGTCCAAGTGTCCAGATTAGTCCAGAGCCTAGTGCGTTTCCGGTAATTAAAACCATACTTACAATAGTCAATATCAAAGAATGGCAAACCCTCCATAAATGGTTGCTTCTTCAAAAGCCCCGACTGGGGATTTTCTATGAACCAAATGCGCGGGTTAAAGTATTTGATTATCTCAAGCGCTTTCAAAACGATGGCATTAGCCTCATCAATTTTTCACGTTCCAACCGTTTTCGCAATGCTATACTCAATACAAGGGGGAGAAGCCCAAATCATACCGTAGTATTTCACAGGATATTTTTATATATATTTTGTATTTCCATTGTAGTATATCGCAGTTTATATCAGCCCCTTTTAAATCTAATTAGACAACATCCCATCCCATATCTTTCGCAGCAGTTCCCACACTACCAGTTCCGCTAAACAATTCAAGTAATTTCATATAATCTATATATGAAATTATTGATGAAACATACGCGTTTTTTTATCACTCCATCATTTTAAACACCTCACCATCCCTTTCAATCTTGTAAAACTCAAGTGTCTGCGACTTAGGCATTTTGATTTTGCCTTCATTCAGCATAGCCAGATACTGTTTCTGCTTTGTTTCATAAGTCCCAGCCGGTCTTCCCACCTGCTTTTTCTCAAAGATTTTATCCATCCTTTCTTTCTCAGCATCAGCATCATTATCATTACTTGATTTATTTTTCACTAGTATATCAAGTTTTTCTATTGCCTTGTTCATTAAGTCCATCAGTGTTTTGACATTCTTGTTATACCTAGTCATCTTGTTCAACATTTCAGCCATTTCAGGTTGTTTATCATCTAAATCACTCATTACTATATATTAATTATTTAGATATTTATTTATTTATCAGTTGAAAGTGTGTTATAATCACTCTTTAAATAGTTTCAATCCATATCATTTATTGCCATTTGCTTTTTACTACCACTACTACCCATTACATCACTTATCATTCTATTAGTGCTCTCAGTTTTTTTGTCTTCTGGGGTGACTTGCCTGTTCCACGAAAAACTAATGCTGTGGTCTTCACTCTCTAAAACTATCTCCCCGTTGTCATCCCTGCTGACATTCATTGTTTTATCATTTCTACTGAGTTTAAAACTACAAGGGTTACAAGAACATTTTATCCCTTTAGGGTCAATTGAAATTTCATTTCTCATTTGTAACTTACAGCCACACATAGGACAATCAAAGGTGATAAATGTGCTTGATAGTGTTTGTTCCTCATCCAGATTTATTGTTGTGGGTTCTTCATCTGATAGTTCAAAATCTTCAGGTATTGGTTGCTTCTTGATTTTACTACTCATCTGTGGTTTTACTTTTTTGGGAGGCATCTATATAATATTTAAGATAATTTATAATTATCTTCAGAAACTCTAATACCATCCTACATATCTGCTTTATTTTAGTATCTTTTACAATTGTAAATTTACTATTATCATCAATACTATCTTCAATCACATCTATTGTATTGATATAACTATCAAAAACTTCACAACTGCTCATCCTATATAATTAGAAGATATATTTTACTACTATCTAATTATATATGGATTTTTAGGCGCAAACAAAAATCCATAAGGGGCGGTAGGTAAATGTCAAAGAAAATGAACTGTGCTGATTGAAACATAGCATCAAACAAATTCAAGAGCAAAAAGGCTTCAAATCTTCTACTGCTTCTTGTCATAGCAAAAAGAGACCGTGTCGGGGAAACAGAGCAAGAGCCCAAGGGTGGATTTTTTATTTTTCTAATTAACATTCTTATGATGGGTAATAATGGCAGTCTGTTCCATATTCTACCGACCCCTATTCAGGTAAAATAAGATATGCAATTTACAATAAATATTAGAAATTAATTTCTAAATAATTTATATGAAAAAACTTGATGTTCCAATTATTAAACCTCATAAATCAGCAGAGTATGAGTTCAAACAATCAAAATACGATGTAGCACCAAGAATACCATTTTCTCAAATTGTTGTCGGACCGTCAGGGAGTGGTAAATCTATCTTACTACAGAATATGATTTTAGATATTTACAGAAATTGTTTTGAGAGGGTGTTTATATTTTCTGCTAGTATCCACGTTGATAGTGTCTGGCACCCAGTGAAAGAATACATTGAAAAAACACTAAAAGTAAATCCGAAGAAAGAGAAGGTTTATTTTGATGAGTTCCATAAAGAAGATTTGGAAGAGATACTTGAACAACAATACAAAATAAGTGAATATCAAAAGAAAAATAAATTCAAAAAACTGTTTGCTACATTGATTGTTGTTGATGATTTTGTTGATGCGGTTTCATTTTCAAAACACAACAGTATGCTCAATGCTCTTTACATCAGAGGAAGACATTTTGGGGTCAATATAGTGAGTTCAACGCAAAAATTCAATGGGCTTTCAACAATTATCAGGGTAAATAGTAGGCAATTATACTTTTTCAAGATGAGAAACTATAAGGAGATACAGACAATGATTGAAGAATTGTCAGCACTATTGATAAAGAAACACTTTTTGATGGACGATAAAAATATCAACAGTGCTAAAAAGACATTACTAGAAATTTATGAACTGGCAACTGAAGATAGGTTTAGTTTTTTATTTGTAAATTTGATGGAGAGTGATATTAATAGGGTTTTTATGATTAGATATGACAAGGCTTTACATATTCAATAATATTATTTTCAAGATAATATTATTAAATCAAACTTGCTAAATAATCTTGATGTTTTTTGGTCTTTAAATGCCTTGATTTATTGAAGAAAGAATAAACACTACCACATTCACATTCAATTTTGCTTTTCAGTTTCTCTATGTTTTGCTTGTAATGCTCCTTTGCGTATTCGGCATTTTTCTCTTTATTAGCATAGTAATGTTTCTTACGCGTCATCTTTTCGTTTTGTTTGACTTCATCAGGCATATTTTGTCTATACACCTTTCGTTTTTCATAAATGACATCTTTATTTTTGACAACATATTCTGCTTTGTATTTTTTCAAACGCTCTTTGTTTTCATTTAGCCAATCGTTTAATTCATTATATGGTAGTCTGTTATTTAGTGTGGCATTTAACTCTTCTATATACATTCTTTCTTGTCGTCGTGCTTCTAAATTATTTTCCATTTTTAAAGTATCTATTAAAATCATATCAAAGTTGTCCCATCCGCCATTAGCGCGAATAAATTGATATAATTTCTTTTCATAATCTACATTGTTATTATTATAACACAAATTCTTATGAGCAGATTTTCTGTTCTTAAAATTTAATGTGTGTCCTACATAACAATCTTTGATATTCAAGTCTTTACAGACTATCTTGTAAAAATGTGTTTTGCTATAATCCATCTTTTTAAGAGGCATTATAAGGTATTAAAATGTATTATAGATATGTCTTTAAATATATATCAAATCAATGAAGCATTACAAAATTGTAAGTTAGGTAGTTTGTATAAGATGTTGTTTTGTTTTTCCCTTTCCAGTTTTTCAACCCTATCTGATAAATTCTTTATTGTTTTAAGAACAATCTTATCTATCCTACTAATATCTAACTCTTCTTCATTAATTTTACTCAATTCTTGAATACAACCGTTTTCAACTGAACTTGGTTTATTGCCCATATTATAGGTTTATATTTTAATTATCTTTAGGTTTTGATTTTGCTTTTGCTTTTGCTTTACCTTTACCTTTCAATTCTTTTATCTCCTCCATCATTTCAAACATACAAGCCTCTAAATGCTCAATCTTTTGTTGTTGCTCCCTCACAGCACCCCATAATATGCCTGACAATTTGATATAACTTAACTTCTTAATACCTTCATTATCAGTCATAACAATATTCTCCCATTCGGGCGGTATTGCTTCCATAATCTCATCGGCAATAAATCCAAGATGGTTTTTAGTTATTCCAATTTCTTTTTCATCTTCCATTTTGAAAGTTTTAGGTTCAATTTGTTTAACTATGTCAGTAAAACTATGTTCAATACTTTTGATGTCATATTTTTTAGTAAAATCGGATGTATCTACAAGGTCTCCCTCTAATGTATAAGGTGCTGGAACAGAAACTTTTGATGGCGTAATAAAAAATCTTATACTGTTATTAGCATAAAATCTTATGTCCCCGTTGGGGTCTTCATTGATTAACTTGAAATGATTAACACCTGCGGTATTTTCGTTAAATATATAATTATTCTTACCAGTTTCTTTGTGAAAGTATGCCCTTTTGTCTTGAATAACATATACATCTTTTGAAAAA